ATTGGCTTAAACATGCTACCCTTTTGTCTGTCTGTCCTGGAAAGCCCACGCTGGTGAGGCAGTTCTGCTCTGGGAGGCTGTCTGGGTCTGTGTGCCTACCTTTTAACACCCCCTCTCCCCATAGCATTCCCCTGAGGAGGGAATGTGGGAGGAGTCCAGCCCGCCCCTTCACTGGGAACTCAGTGCGGACAGCCAGCACTTCCTACTGGCCTGCTGCAAGGGAGTGGAAGCTCTCTTCAGAGCCACTGCTCTGCTGAAGACAGAGCTCTGGGAGGGGTGGAAGAACTCTGAAAACTGTCAGTCTTTGCCACAGAAAGACAAGTAGGAAGGGAATGAACACGTACGCGAATGGGTAACCTTCCAATGCTTTGAAGGAGTAGTTCTTGGTGCTGCGAGAGCATATAAAGGAAGGCTTTTCCCTGAGGAAGTGACATTTGTGATGTGAGGTAGAGAACGAGTAGGAACTGATGGGGAAGAAACGGTGAGGCTGTTCCCAACAAAGGCAGCAGGGGTGCACGGCTCTGTGAACAGAGGGAGTACTGCGCACACAGGAAACCCAAGAAGCCATGGTTCCTGAGAGGACACAGGAGGCTCCCCAGGATAGGCGGCTGATGTCTCTGAGGATGGCCCCAAGGAAGGAGCCCCAGGCACGGGGAGTCAGAGATGTCCGCTCTGTTCCTGGCACTTTTCTAAGGCTCTGTATGTCTTCATTCATTTGCTCTGTGAACAACCTGTGCCAGTTCTTGTCTTCAGAGAATCGGTTGGAATAAGGCATACAAGAGGCTTAGGAGGGCAATGCCCATGGAGGACGAGGGGAGGACGTGGGAGCAGGAGCAACAAAGCAGCAGGGGTACAGGGCTCTGCTGACATCTGGGAAAGCAGAGGCGGGCAGAAGGAGGACTAGGGGAAGAGCCTCAGACTACATGCAGCCTGGAGACCCCTGGGTCATGTTCATGGGGAGCCCCAGAGCCCAGACTGCCCATGGTAACAGGAAAAACAAACCGGAAGTGCAGAGTGGGGCTGGAGTTGAAGGACTCTTCATTTCATGTCTTTCTGCAGTGTTTGAACTTTACAACAATGTGCAGGTGTTATTTTAAAAAGAATTATGCAAATGAGTGGCCTGGCTGTCACTCTGAGAGGCTTGGGCTTGAACCTCTAGGAGACAGAGATACCCTTGGTCCCATGGAGGACAAAGTCGTTCCAGTTTCCTGGGCTTCTGGCCTTTCCCACTCATTGCCCCCTGCACTGCCATCATTCCGCTGCCCCTGGGCTGTGTGCCAGTGTCCCTTTTCCGCAGCATTGCCCAGCACCAGGCCAGCGCAGGGTGGGGGTCAAGGAGCGCTGGATAAATACTGGGAGGAGTGATACCAGCCTCTCCCCGGTCTCTGCGCTTTCCAGCGCCTGCTCCCATCCATTACTTTATCTGATCCTCAAACAACCCCTGAGGCAAGTAGGACAGGGGTCTTGGCACTCGTTTTATAGATGAGGAAACTGAGGCTCTGGCCAGCAGACTGACTTGCCCAATGCCACTCAGCTGGCTAGAGGGACCCAGAACCAGAGTCCAGGCTGCCATATACACAGCCCCCTGGGGATGAGAATCAGGCTGCCCCCAACCTGGAAATTTCTGCAGATGCCAGAGAGAAAACCATTCATGGACCCTGCTGCAGTGTACTCTTTACCCTGCCCAACCACCCTCATGGCCTTCTCTTTGTGCCTGCCCACTCCTAGCTCATACCTCAAAACTACTCCCTGAGCCCACAACGAATGGGGTATTCTTAGTATCTTAGCCCTTTGCCTATCAGAAGAGATGGACACTGGCCAGCTGAGCCCCAGGGACACAGGGACTGAGAGTGGGAGGATTTGTTGCTTCCCACCTGAGAAGGGGGAGAAGTCAGTTACTGCAGTAGGTCACAGGTGCTTGATGGCCTCAGGTGGTCCCTTTGTGCCCGGACCACTGAGCATTGAATGGGACCCTGGGCTCAGAGCGTGGGCAAGTGTGAGTTGAAGGAAAGGCTCAAGGTTATGGGGGGCAGTGTAGAGGGGATGGGCATGGGATGGAATACGCTGAGGCCAAGATTGCTGACTACAGGGCTGTGGGACAATGCCAGCTCCCCAGGAACTACTTCTTTTTTTAAAGATTCTTTTATTGAACTTGAGAGAGAAGAAAGGTGAGGGATCAAGAGAGAGAAACACCAATGTGAGAGTGAAACACAGATGGGCTGCCTCCTGCAAGGCCCCCACTAGAGATAGAGCCATAACCTGGGAATGTGTCCTGACCAGAAATTGAACTGGTAACCTTTTGGTGCACAGGATGACATCCTACCAACACCGGCCAGGGCCTCCAGAAACTTCTTTAAAGACTCACTATAAATCTATTAGAAGGTTTAGAAGAAGAGCGCAGAAACAATCTTCTTACTCACTCGACAGATATTTCTGGAGTGTCCTAGGTCCTGGGATATAGCAGTGAAGAAAAAAGTCGAAGTCCATGTTCTTAAGGAGTTTGTCAGCTAATAGGAGACATAGGTGATAAACAAACAGGTGAAGAATATAAAGACAGGAGCATGAAATAAAATAAACCACGGCCAGGGAACACAGAGCAGAGGAATTGCTGTTTCAGGTGGGGTAGTCTCGGAAGGCATCTGTGGTACGGTGGCATTTGAGCAGAGGCCTGACGAAGCGAGTGAGCAATCTATGCAGATATCTAGGGGCAAAGGAAGAAATGATAGAAGAAAATTTCCTTGAACTGAAGAAAGACTTGAGTTTTCAGATTAAACGGATACACCAAGCATAAAGCAAAATAAGAAAGAGACAAGAGTCCAGAGTTAGAAGCATCCTGGTAAAATCCAGGAAATCTAATGGCAGAGAAAAGATCCCCCCATAAAAAGCAACCCAACAGGCCCAAATGGTCTTATAGAAAGGTCATAAAATATTTAAACAACATAGTGTATATTCTTTCAAGGCCCCTTTCTTTCCTTTAAAATTTTTTTTTTTAACTTTTCAATTGCAGTGGACATTCAATACTGTTAGGTTTAGTTGTACAACATAGTGATCAGACATTTATATAACTTACGAAGTGATCACCCCAGTAAATCTAGTGCCCACCTTACACCACACACAGTTATCTCAATCTCACTGACTATACTCCCTGTGCTATACTTTACATCTCCATGGCTCTTTTCATAACAGCCAATTTGCACATCTTCATCTTTTATCCCCTTTCGCCCATTCCCCAACCACTCTCCCATCTGGAAACTATTAAAAAGTTTTCTGTATCTATGAGTCTATTTCTGTTTTGTTTATTTGTTTGTTTTAGTAAGTAAAACCATATAGTACTTGTGGTTCTTTGTCTGACTTATTTCACTCAGCATAATACCCTCTAGGTACATTCATGATATCACAAATGGCAAGATTTCATTCTTTGTTATGGCTGAATAATATTCCGTCATATATATGTACCATATATTCTTTATCCACTCATCTATCAATGGACACTTAGCTGCTTACATATCTTGGCTATTGTGAATAATGCGGCAATGAACATAGAGATGCATATGTCTTCAAATTAGTGTTTTGGGTTTCTTCAGATAAACGCCCAGAGGTGGAATTGCTGGGTCCTTCTTTGTCTCGTTATTGCCTTTATTTTAAAGTATATTTTGTCCGATATAAGTATTGCTACCCCAGCTTTTCTGTGGTTTCCTTTTGCATGAAATATCTTTTTCCATCCCTTTACTTTCACCTGTGTGTGTCTTTCGATCTGAAGTGGGTTTCTTGTAGGCAGTGTAAGTATGGGCCATGTTTCTTATCCACTTAGCCACTCTGTCTTTTGATTGAAGCTTTTAATTTATTTATATTTAAAGTATTTATTGATAGGTATATAGTTATCACCATGTTATTATTCATATTTTTAATTTCTTCTCCTCAGCCTCCTTCTTTAAGAAGTCCCTATATTATTCTTGCTATACTGGTTTGGTGATGGTGAACTCGTTTAGCACTCTTGCCTGGGACTTTAAGGTTCTTTTCCGTGCATGATGACATAGCAGTGGGGAAGGAATTGATTGGGAGGGAAAGTATGTTAGAGGTTTTCACTGCTGGAGAGAAATGCTTCTTTTTTGCTATCTCTGTTTTGAGCACCGCCTGGTTTCTTTCTCTTCTTCCTGGCAAATAATTCCAGTAACAGATCTCCTCACTGTACAGGAGAGTTTTTCTCTCTGGATACGGCCTGGGTAAATGCTGTGTCTAGATGCTCAGGTGCACCTTCTCTACTTAGGCGGCCAGCGTCCCCATCCACTCACTCATTCATTTATTTACTCAACACAAGTTTACGGAGTCCCTACTATATTTCAGGCGCCCTGCATGAAGGACAGTAATGTGAGACTTGAGCCGTCTGGCCTGGAGGTGGGAGATAGGTTGGTATGAGACTATGTCCCCAAGAAAGTTAAGTATGAGGTGATTTCTGAAGGATGAATGGGGTTAACCAGGCCAAGGTCGTTGCTGGAGGCAGGCAGAGAATGAATCAGGTAGGAGACAGACACCCTGTATAAAGGCAGTCCCTGGAAACTAGCTTGGGGGTGTTCTGGGTCTTTTGGGAAAATCACTCTTCTAAATTCTCCAGTGACAAAATCCTTTACCTGTTTGGGGCAAGTTCCTGAGCCCATTTAATTTCTCTCAAGTGGACCCTGTTTGCTTTAAGTCTTTTAGAAATTCATTAATTTAACAATTGAGCACTTACTGTGTACTTGGTGCTGCAGGTAGAAGGGAACAAATGGATACAATCATTGCTTTGGTGGAGCTTACATTCTATTGGATGAGAAAAAAAGCAAATAAAATAAAATGTAAAATATATAATACATTAGCAGGAAATAAGCAAAAAAAAGGGGGGGGGGAGTTAAACAGGACAGGGAAATAGGAAATAGAGTGTTAACATTTCTATTGGGGGTTTAAAGCAGGGCCCCCTGAGAAGGTAATGTCCACCGTGAAATAAAATGCGACTAGGTATTCCATCACATAAACGATTTATTCAGGAAAAAGAAGGAATTGCAGTCTGGTACATGCAGACATGATGAGCCACATGTACAAAGAGGGAGGAAGTACTTTATAGAGGGGAAGAGGGAGTTTAGGGGCTGTTACAACCATAGAGCTCTTTTGTAAAGGCAGAGTTCTTCCCACAGGGCTCTCACAATTACATAGGTGTGATAGCTCTTCTCACAGCCCCTCCTGATTTCTGTCCAGGTTAAGCTCTCTCGTATGATTTTCTCCTTTTTGATCAAAACCTTTCTCTGGAAGTAGCGCTGATCAATAGCCAGGTTTTCCGATTTTAGCAGCCTTTTGTCCCTCCACGTCCAGAAGGATTTCTGGGTGTCGTGTCTCACGTCGGAGGGACGGTGCAGGAATAGAAAACATCTCGTATTCAGGGATAATGTGCAACAGGTGAAGAGCTTAATAACAAGAAGAATACAACACAAAATTTAAAACAACATGATAAACAGTCTAAATGGTGATTCTAAATTAGGAGTCCCAACCTGTAGGTGGTGAAATGAAGGTCATTGTTGTCTTGGACAGATCAAAGTTCTTAACATCAGATACAGTAACAGAAAGTTTCCCCTTTCACATTAGCTGGGAAAATGTAAACAAGGATATTTCCCTTCTTGAAAGAGAGAGAAATAAAATCATAAAACAACAGTAAGGAAAAGATTTGCACAGACCTGGTATAGTCGTTTTGGGAAAGCTGTCTCCTTCAGAGACCATCTGCTTCAATTTTTGACAGCTTTAACTTCAGGTCACAAGTCTGTGCTCAGTTCCAATGAGGTTTTTGTCCTTCTTTCCTTCCTTCCTTCCTTCCTTCCTTCCTTCCTTCCTTCCTTCCTTCCTGCCTTCCTTCCTTCCTATTTTTGTTAATCCTCACTTGAGGATATTTTTCCCATTGCTTTTTAGAGAGAGTGGAAGAGAGGAATGGAGGGAGAGGGAGGAAGGGAAGGGGGAGAGAGAGAGAGACATTTATTGGTTGCCTCTCCCCTGCATGTACCTCAACCAGGGTCAAGATTGAACCTGCAACCCAGCCCTTGATCTGGAATCAAACCGGTGACCCTTCAGTATGTGAGCCGACTCTCCAATCACTGAGCCACATGACAAGGGAGGTGCCTTTTTTAAATGCAACACATGTATCCATGAGTTTATTCCCTGGAGTTTAGCAGCACAGGGAGTAGTCAGCAAAACTGGAGGGAATCCTATATAATAAAAGGCTAATATGAAAAATGGCTGAATAGTGGAACGACCGGTTGCTATGATGTGCACTGACCACCAGGGGGCAGACGCTTAATGCAGGAGCTGCCCCCTGGTGGTCAGTGTGCTCCCACAGGGGTCGCTCAGCCAGAAACCAGGCTCATGGCTGGCGAGTGCAGCGGCGGTGGCGGGAGCCTCTTAGCCAACTTAGGCTAAGTCATCAGTTGGACATCCCCCGAGGGGTCCCGGACTATGAGAGGGCACAGGTCCGGCTGAGGGACTCCCCCCACCCCCCTACTCATGAATTTCATGTGCTGGGCCTCTAGTTATTATATTTTGGTGTGTCTTCCACTCAAAAGAGGTGGATCTGAGATTTAGAAGGACCAATGGCAATGCTTTTGGCCATGGTATTTGAATGGTCTCTATGCATTTTGCCAATTGAATCTTAGTAATGCAGTTAGTGCCTTTAACTAAACCTGAGAATTGAGGGTCATAAGTGCCGTGAAAATGTTGTAACATTTGGTGAAAATGTTGTAACATTTGGTTACGACAGTTTTGACAGGTCTGGCCAAACATCACAGACTTGTCAAAACTGATCAGTAAAGGGGGTTCCTCCATTGCTGTGGAGTTCCAGAGGGGCTAACCGGACTTTAGCTTCAGTCCAGTGAGAGACATACAGGTCATTACTAAGACATATTAATTTCCTGAGACAGGGGAAGCTGTGTGAAATCTATTTGTCAAACCTTGAGTAGCCCATTAGGCAATTTGAAATGTCTGAGAGACATGCAAATAGACTTCCCTGGGTTGTACTTTGTTCAAGTGGGACAAGTGAGGTAGGTGCTTTTTATGGTCTTATTAACATTTCCCCACCAAAATTGATTCATGAATGCTATCATTTTGTCAGTGGTTTAATGCCTGTACAATAGTTAGGTGTGGACACTTTAGTCTCAGGTAGGACTGGACTGTTATTTGGTCTTTCTCTGTTTATCAAACCAACAATTGTTGGATTTCCAATTGTGCTTTTCTTTTTCTGAAGCCAACTGCTGGGCTGCTTTGATTAGTTTTTCTAAGTCAGGGGAGGGGAAAGTCCGGCTCTCGGGCCACTTAAGGCCCTCGAAATCATTTGGTTTGACCCTGCCAAGGCATTAGGGGTGAATTAATTAAATGTTTGAACAAATATACAGGCTAATTTTTAAGTTGATAGTTTTGTATGGCCCGAGAATGATGCTATAAATATCCAAATGGACCTTGGCAGTAAAAGGTTCCAAACCCCTGTTCTAAGTTATCAGCTGGAAATATCCCCTTGGACCATGACAGAGGCTTGACTGCTGCTGGTCCCTTTAAGGGCAGCGTTCCTTGCAGGAATGCCATCACAGCGATGTTCTTTCTCTTCCAGAGAGTCAGGATTAGAATGCCCTGGGGTCTTAGGAATAGCTAAAGCAGCAGGTACAAGCATAGCATGCAGTCATTCTTGAATGTACAGGGCACTCCATTTTATTTCCACTGGATGTAAGAAAGCCATGTTGTTTCCATAACATTCCAAAGTCATGAGCTATTGCGAAGGCATATCTACTGTCATTATAAGTGATGGTCGTTTTGTCCTTGGCTAAATACAAGCCCGACTGAGAGCATATAATTCAGCCTGCTGGGTTGAAGGAGTCCAAGATAAAGATGCTGCCGTGATGACTTCAAAAGGGGTTACAACAGCATAACCAACATAGTACCTTCTATGTCATGTTTAAAATATGAGCCATCTGTAACCAGCTTTACCCAGAGGAGTCTCCTGCAGATCATCACAAGGTCAGGAGGTGATCCATCCGTATGCAAGCAGCATGAGGGGCTTTGTCAGTATCACAGGGGGAAAGAGTAGCTAGAATAAGGTTATTAAACATGAAAGAGTGATGTGAGGAGCACTTTACAGAAGGACTTTATAGAAAGCCAGGCAACTAACTGCAGACCCTGGTGTGGTGAGAATTCAGGAGGGCTTCTACTGCATGAGGCACAATGATGGTTAAAGGGGATCCTACAATTTCCTTTATGTCCTCAACCAAAAGGACAGTGGTAGTAATGGCTCTATGGCAAGGGCTGCATCCCCATGCCACAGGGTCCAGCTGCTGACTGGAATACCCTAAGGGCCTATGGTGGTCCTCATGTCTTTGGGTGAGTAACCGAAGGGCAACCCTTTATATATATCAGTGGTTTGCAATAGTTAGGTGTGGACACTTTTCTCTCTCTCTCTCTCTCTCTCTCTCTCTCTCTCTCTCTCTCTCTCTCTCTTTAACAATTGATATACCCCAAAACAGGTGAGTTTATTAAACTCTCCTTTAAGACTTTAAAAGTTATGTTGTCCTGTTCTTCCCATATAATTGGGTCAGGACTATAATTCTTTAGTAAAACATTATAGAGGTTTTTCTTTGTTTTGTTTTTTTTTTTGTTTTCTGTTTTTATCAGAGAGAGATTTGGGACCCAATTTTGGCAATAGGCAATTAGCCCAACAAAGCCTTGGAGTTGACACTTAGTTTTAGGCCTTGGGAAACTTAGGACACCATGATGCCTATCTGGACCCAGTTGCAGTCCTTGCTCCAATATCAGATGTCCCAAATACTAAACCTGAATTTACACAAACTGCAATTTTTTTTTTAGAGATTTTATGCCCCTTGAAAGCCAAAAGTTCTAACAGGTGGAGGCTGTCTCCTGTGAGGAGAACTTGGAGGAAGAGCGAAGAAGCAAGGTGTCCACATATTGCAACAAAGTAGAACCATTAGGGAAAATTATATCATCCAAAACAACCTTCAGAACTTGTGAGAAATAAGAAGGGCTTTCAGTAAAGCCCCAGGGCATTACTGTCCAAGTGAATTGTTTCCTTCCCAAGTGAAGGCAAAAAGGTATCGGCCAGCTTCATCAACTGGAATGTTAAAGAATGCACTGCGCAAACCAGTTACAGTAAAGAAGTTGCTTCCCGTTGGATGGATGTGACGAGTTTATGAGGGTTAGGAACAATAGGGTTTTGAGGGGTAACAATGTGGTTTATTGCTGGGAAACAAACCTTCACCTTCCTCCCTTTGCTTTCTCACAGGTAAAATGAGACTGTGACAGGGACTGAGTTAATCTATTATGGGCTTTATACCTTGAAGAGCCTTTTTACTCATGGTGTATAGATCAATTCTGGGAAAGGGTTTTGAAGAATATATTTGAATATTGATAGGAGGTGGTGGTGCACTGTGGATCTTGCCAATATCACTTGAAGATTTTGTCCATAAAGAGGATAGCAGTTTGACTCGGTAAAGATAATTGATCAGTGCTCCCAGATTCAGCTATAGCGTCACCAGAGATTAAACAAATAAAAGATGCTGAAAGATTATTTAGTTCACCTGAGTGGTTATTTTAACAGCCACTGTCAAATTCTAAAATTATTTCCTCCTTTTGGGAGAAAGAAACTCAGGGGTGATACTTCTCTAAGAAGTCTTGGCCTAATAAATGAATAGGGCAGAAGAACTAAGGAGAAGGAGTGAGTATCTTTCAAAGGGCCTAGGAAAAGAGGGATAGGGTCAGAGATAGAACCTGTTCAAGTGTACTTGAAATCCCTGCCACGGGAACTGTTTTAGTACTCCAAGGCAGAGGTTGGTGTCAGAAGGACAGAGACAGATTCATTACCAATTTGAGGAAAAGCTTCTCCAAACTGATTAAGAGGCAGGGCTGGGGAAAGTCCCTGCTGTCCCATGGAGCCCCATCATTGGGGATTAAGAGACCTTGGGAAGGCTGATGAGAAGGCTGAGGATACCTGAAGTGCTGAAATTTGCCACCATCCCTTTCCCAGTCTCCTCACTTTTTGCAATGACAGCAGAAGCTAGGAAACTTTTGGTTTTATATAGGGGCCTTCATATGCCAGGTCTAAAAATTAGACAGCATGCCAATCTTACTTTTAGATAGCTCTTATAGAGTACGAGCAATCTGATTGCCCAAATTAACAAAAATCTTGGTGGACATGGTTTCCTACGTCATCCTGATCCTTTTAGCCAAAAGAGAAAGGTATTGGTTCAGCCTCTTAATAAACAAAGACTTGCCAAAGATTACTCAAGTGGAATCAACATCTGAAGGAAGACCAGAATTTTCCTTATAAATGACCTAAAGTCAATTATAATAGTCATCAACAGATTTGATAGACTTTTGTGAGCAAGTCTGAATCCTGCTCCAGCCAACAGACTTTTAAAAAGCTACTGTTATTGCTCAGTGAAGTTCTTAAGGAAGTCTTGTAGCTTCTTTCCAAAAATCAGAGGTTTGTTTTTCTAAATCCCTCCCAGGATGTTCCCATTGGGCAATTCCCATCCAATGTTGAGGTGGCCTTCACCAACTAGCATATGGATTAGCTGCTATACATCAGAAAACCCAGGATGATAGGCCTGAATAACTGTGTCAAACTCCTCAGCAAATCTGTGAGGATCCTGCTACCTTAGGGGATTCTTTAACCATGGCTTATAACTCAGCTTTAGTCCAGGGACATGAGGTGTATTAGGATCCTCAGAGAGCTTAACTTTAAAGGGACAGATACTGATATGTTTAGAGGGGGAGGGAGAGAAAGTTCAGAAGAAGATGGCACCAGAGGCAAGGCAAGGAAGCCAGATAGTGGAAAGCCAGATGGCTTCCGAGGTGAAGCATGAAAAAAATGAGTTGAGGGGAAGGGCAAGACAGCACTGGAAGTGAAGATCATGAGGCTTCAGAAACCATCCTTTCTCTCTTTAAAAGTTCAGTAGCCCCAGTTAATTCTAAAAGTTTACTTTGTAAAGAGGCAACTTCAGATTCGTGGTTCCATTGGGAAGCCTCAAAATACCACTGGAAATAGGCATTCCATTCATCTTAGCTAGTTTTAGTGATAATATTATCCAATAGGGTTTTAAGAAAAGTGAGTTCGGGAATTTCAAAGATTCCCTATGGTGCCCATTGATATTCTGAATTACTTTCGGTCAGATCTGCTTATTTAGTTAACTATGAAGAGTGACCATGGCTTTTAAACATGATTTCAACAGGCGTTTCTAGAGACGGAACAGTCTTGAAATATTTAGATAATGGAGATCCCATTTTTTCAGAGACTTTTCTCTAGCGCAAGGGCCCCAAACAGCCCGAATAGCTCCAGCAAGCTGCAGGTCATATACCGGCCAGTCTCACTGTGGAACACCCTTTGATCAGGGGGTTGGGGGGAGAGGTCAAGCCAAAGGTAAAAAGCCAGTTGTAGGAGAACAGCCTGATCTCAAGAGATCCGAGTCAAAGACTGATGAGACACAGCTTGCGTTGGGAGCAGTCTGGTTCCAGACAGAACCAGATCAGAGCCGAGCCTCAGTTTCTGGGGAAACAACCCCGATCCAGATGGAATCTGTCAGAAAGCAAGTGCAGTCCCGAGAAGCAGCCTGGTACTTCTGGGGAGTCGGGCCAAAGTGTCAACCGAGCTCACAAATGAACAAACAAACAAGGATGGCCCTTTAAGAACAGCAACAAAAACCCTCTAAAGAGTTTCTGAACAAAGTCCAGAGCTTCAGAACACAAAATCAGACGCTGGGTTCCAGACCAAGCCCAAGCCTCCAGGCCAGAGAGCAGCGAGCCCCATGGCTCTGTGGGGAACAAGCTCCTGGCTGCTTACCTGCTCTGAAGCTGTCCCGGTTACTGCTCTGTAATCCCTATGGGCCCCCCGAAAAGGTTGACCATGAAACAAAAGTTGACTAGGTACTCTGTCACCAAAAGGATTTATTCAGGAACAAGAGAAGATTGCAATCTGGGACATGCAGACGTGATGAGCCAGACGTACAAAGATGGAGGAAGTACTTTGTGAGGGGGAACCGGGAGTTCAGGGAAGGGGCTGTTAGAACCATAGAGCTCTGTTGTAAACGTGGAGTTCTTCCTGTAGGGCTCTCATAATGACATAGGTGTGAGAGCAATCCGCACAGCCCCTCCTGATTTCTGCCAGGTTAAGGTCGTTGTCATAAATTTTAACAGTTAATTTAACATTTAATAAAACCCCGAAGGAGGTGATGGAGCCACATAATTTCTGGGGAAGAGATTATACAGGCAAGAGGAACAACAAGTGCGAAGACCCTGAGGTGGGGTTGTGCCCGGTATGTTTGAGAAATCACATGGTGGCCAGTGTGACTGAAGTGATGTGAGCAAAGGTCAGAGGTGCATTAGGGCCAGATCCTGTAGGGCACTGCAGGCATTGCAGGCGAGAGCCACTGAAATGTTCCGAGTCAAGAAGGGACATGGCCCTAGCCGGTTTGGCTCAGTGGATAGAGCATCGGCCTGCAGACTCAAGGGTCCCAGGTTTGATTCCGGTCAAGGGCATGTACCTTGGTTGCAGGCACATCCCCAGTGGGGAGTGTGCGGGAGGCAGCTGATCGATGTTTCTCTCTCATCGATGTTTCTAACTCTTTATCCCTCTCCCTTCCTCTCTGTAAAAAATCAATAAAAATATATTAAAAAAAAAAAAAAAAAAAGAAGGGACATGGCCTGACTCAGGTTGCAGCAGGAGCAACTTGGCTGTTTTTCAGTTTCCCCCCCAGTTTTATTGAGATATAATTGACATACATCACTGTGTAAGTTTAAGGTATATAATATAATGGTTTGACTCATGTATATTATGAAATGATTACCACAATAAGTTTAGTTGGCACCCATCATCTCATATAGATACAATAAAAAGAAAAATATTTTTTCCCTTGTAATAAAAACTCTTAGAATTGAACAACGCTCCCATATACCATACAGCAGTGTTAGCTGTAGTCATCCTGTTGCATATTACATCCCTAGTACTTATATATCTTATAACTGGAAGTGTGTGCCTTTTTTGTTGTTGTTAATCCTCGCCCAAAGATATTTTATTCCATTGATTTTTTTTTAGAGAGAGAGTGGAAAGGAGGGAGGGAAGCAGAGGAGAAAGAGAGAGAGAGAAACATTGATGTGAGAGAGACACATTGAGTGGTTGCCTCCCACATGTGCCCCAAGCAGGTCGGGATCAAACCTGCAACCCAGGTATGTGCACTTGACCGGGAATTGAACACCCAGCCCTTCAGTGCCAGACAGGGCAGAAGTTTGTACCTTTTGACCAATTTCCTCTAACGCCCCTCCATCCACCCCCCACTTCCTATCTATTCTTAGCCACAAGTCTTATCTATTTTTTCAATGAGTTTGTTTGTTACTGTTGTTTTAGATTCCACATATAAGGGGGATCATTCAGTATTTCTTTTTCTCTGATCCCCTGTTTCTGATCAGCCATGTGCCTAAGCCTCCTTGTATGCTGAAGCTGCTATGGATGTGTCTTTGTTTCCAAGTTCTTTTGACATGTTGGGGTGGTTTTCACTCAGGGGACGGGGAACACTGGGCTGAAGTGTGTGAGGCGTGAAGGATGGACAGTATGCAGGGCAGATGGAGAAGTGCCGTGGATGTGCCAGGCTCCCACCTTCACAGAGACAAGTCAGTGAGTTACTGAACCCTCCAGACTGCCGTCTCTTCTTGTATAAAAACTGGTGAATTCTACCTATTCTGCCGATGCTGGCCAGGGCTGCCATAATGTTTCAGACAGTGCATAGCATCTCATCACCATCCTCATCCTCAACATGAATCTCCTCTAAACCTGGGCCAAGCCTGGGTTTGGCTCCTGGGTTTTACCAACAGGAGCTACTGGCACTGACAGGTGCACAGGGAGGGCTCCAGGGTCCGGGGGGCCAGCATGGGCATGAACTTAGGAGCCAAGGCCCACATCATTGCAGAGTCCCAGCAATGAGTTTCTGAGTCCCAGCTCTAGCAGTGTCCTCCCGGAGGAGCAGGGGACAGCTCCCCACCTCCCAGGTCCAGGCCGGAAGGGGAAAGGATGTGAGCTCTCTGCCCACGTGTCCCCGGTTGTGGTTGTCTGGAAGATGCCCTCTCTGCCTCCCCCTCTCCTCTCCTTACCAGCTGTGTGACCGGGGAGGGTCTGGTGGCCTCTCAGAGTCCTGTCTTCGTCTGTAAAAGGCTTGGCTGAGGACCCAACAGCAGTGTGGGTTAAAGGCAACCTCAGCTCATGCGTTTCTCTGGGGCAAATCACTCGGAGCCTCCCGCTTCCTATCCCGGGATGGAAGGCGAAAGCGTCCCGGGATGGCCGCGGACTACAGAAGACTGCGAAGCACTGCCCGGTGTTCAGGGAAGGGCCCAGAGCAGGGTGTCCCTGACTCCAGGCAGGGGTCAGCAGGCCTCCTCAAACTTCTGAGACCGCCCAGGCGGCAGCACAGCCCCCGCGCACCTTCCCGGGGCAACTGCGATTCCTCCGCGGAAAGACCTTACCGTAATTCTCCAACGACACGTTCCCCTAGGCAAGCGCCCTGCTTTACCCGGCGCTCAGCCGCAAGACACAGCGGCCCGGCCAGGGCTGCAGGTGCGAGTGGGCTGTCCCGGACAGGGCTGTGCCCCAGGGTGTCCCCCGGCGCCCACCCCCCGCGCCTACAGCACTGCGATCTCAGGGTTTCGCAGGTCCCGAGGCCCGTCTCACCTGCCCACCTGGGAACCCAGCGTTAGCAGCTGCCCCCCGCGGACTCTGCGAGTCCACGGCCGGGACCGGGCGCCAGGGGCCGGGCAGCTGGCTGGGAAGCGCGCGGAGCCGGCGGCTCTGCAACAAGGAGCGCGCGCGGGCGGTGCTCAGCCCCTGGCAGCCCGGGTGGGGCTGGAGGCGGGGGGCGGGGCCGGAGGCGGGGGGCGGGGCCAGGGCGGGCGCGTGACGCGCGGCGCCGGCCAATGGGGCGCGCGCCCGAGGCCGAGCCTCCTGCGAGCCTTCGCTGCGCCCGCGGCGTCACGTGAGCCGCGGGGAGTGAGCGCCCAGCGAGCCGCGGCGGCCGCAGCGACTCGCGGGCCGGCGGGCAAGTGAGCGAGAGCGGCTCGGCCCGCGGCCGCCGTAGGACCAGGAGGCAGCCCGCTGCCCTCAGCCCAGCCCGCTGGGCCTCAGGACCGCCGGGGCCTGGCCGCCGGCCGGGCGCGAGCCAAATTCAGGTGGGAGAGGCGCGGCGAGGCCGGACGGCCGCGGGAACGCGGCCCGGGGCGCTCCGGGGGCTGGCGGGGACGCGGGGGCTGGGGTGGCCCTGGACCCCTTCGGAGCGAGTGGCCCGGCGCCCGCGCCTTTGTCCCAGGCTCCGCGAGAGCGTCCGAGGAAATGTCCGGGGAGCGGCAGCTCCTCCGCGCGGGCCGTGCGGGTCGGACCAGCCGGTGGGAGAGGGAACCCTGTTGCCGCGGGCACTTTCCCGGCGCCGGTCCGCACCGCCGCTTCGGCGCCGGGCCGCTCGCCTCTGCTCGCGCCAGGCCGGCCTGCCCTTCCATATGGCGGGCACCCGGCGGGGCCTGGCGAGCGGACCCGGGAGGCGGACGTACCGGCCCGCCCGGCCGGGAGGCGGGGGACGGAGGGCCTGGCTGGAGGGGTTACTGCCGGTCAGCGGCCGCGGCCTGCTCGGGAGGGGGCGCGGGCCGCGGGGAGGCGCTCGGCGGGCCGCACTCCGGACCTCCGCCGAGGGGCCGGCGGGCTCCCAGCCCTTCCTTTCCCACGCACGTTTACACACACACACACACACACACGCGCGCGCGCGCGCGCGCGGGCACGTCGCGGACACACTCCCGCATGCCACACCGGCCGCCGCTCCGCGCCCGCACACGCACGGTCACACGACACGCACCGCTCGCAGGGCGCTCACTCCCACTCCCCCAGCCTCCTGGCCGTGGGACTGAACGTTAGCCGGCGATGGTGGCCGCGGACCTGCGGGGGCGGGGGCGGAGAGGAGGCCCTCCCCGCCCTCCCTGGCGGTCCGGTTCCCTCTTTGCTCCCCACCGTGGTTCCCTGTGGAACCCCTCCTGACCCGTGCCGCTACCCCTTCCCCCCCTCCCCGCCCCCCGCCCCACTCCCGGGCAAAGAGGGGCTTTCTCGCCCAATCCCAGCAATGGGGGGATGACAACATGACCGACTGTCTGAACCCCTCAGACCATGACCCCCCTCTAAGGACGGGTGGCTTGTGGGGCTCTCCGGTCCCCCTACAGGTGCGAGGACGCCCGGGCGGGCTCGGGGACTTGTGGGCCTGAGGGCTGAGCGGGTAGCCCAGACTCTTATTTTGAAGGGCGGCCTCGTCCGCCACCCCCTTGATTTGCACGCTGACCCAATGGCAAGCCCTTGGCCGGCGCTGGGCTTGTTATCAATTACATGTTGTTCCTGCTGCCGCTGTGTCCCCGGGAGGATAAACAGCAGGCCTGGCGCGCCGAAGGGGGTAGGGGGGGCAGGGGGTGAGGGGCGGAGTCCGGTGGACTGCTGGGGCCGGTGCCCGGAACAGTGCGTCCCCTCCCCGCGTGAAGCCTGTGCCCCTGGCCGTGCCACGTGCTGCTGTGTTTTAGGGGCCTGAGCCGGCGCAGCCTGGCGTGCCCTTTTTCAGATGCCCTCTCCTCGGCAGTTCCAGAGCCCCTTCCAGGCTCCGAGTGCCTCGGCGGCCAGCCCGGGCGCTCGGCCCTGCATTGCTGCAGGGCTGCTTGACCCTGGGATTCTACCACCGGTCTCCTTCTACCCTCCTGGCCCGCCCCCCTTCCTTCCCGGCTCCCTGTCAGCAGCGGCCTTTCAGGTACTCAGTCAGCAAAGCTTGCCGGCCCTGTTTTACACTGGAATACAGAGGTGGACTGAATGAACAGGCAGAACAGCTTCTATTCTGGTGGGGAGGTGGACAGAAAATAAAGGACACAGACACATAACTAAGATCGTTTCTGGCCTTGGCAACTGCTAGGAAGACTATAACGTGGGATGATGTACTAGAAAATGGTTAGGGGAGGCCCCCACCCGAGTGGCTTCTTAGCTGAGATTGAAATAAGTTACTCCTATTTGGGGTACTGGGGAAAGAGGGGTTCTCAGAGAGGGGGCAGCCAGAATAGTGGCCCGAGGGCCATGAAGTTGGTGGGCTTGGTGCACAGCTAGAGTGGAGCAGGTGGAGGTGAGAGATGGGCGAGTGCTGGGAGAGGCTGGGTCGTGTTTCCTTGGGAAACTATTGGAGGTTTCCTCCCACCCTATCCTACTGTACTTACTTATTTCTCTCTTTTTATATAATTTTATCTGTGACTATCTCAGTTTATATCTAGAAAAGGAAGGCCTCCTTGAATAAGAATCACAGTACCATCATCACACTTAAAAATATCAAGTGTAATTCCTTGATATTATGGAATATTCAGTTGGTGGTTACAATTTAGAGGAGAGCTTAAGTGGGCAGGAACATGGTCTGATCTGCTTCCCACCAGTCGTGGCCTCTTCCCGGGTTCCAGGAAGGCTGGAGTCCTTAACATCACAGCAGAAGGACAGAAAGACCATACGTTCCCCCATTTGGAGGCTAATCTTAATGGCTGGTACTGACCATCCCCTGTGTTGATGCCAGCCCTATAGTAAGTGCTCAGCATATGGTAGATAGCTCATTGGACTCTTAAAGCAAGAGAACTAGGCACTGTTGGCAGCATCCCCACCCAGTAGACCAAGACAGGCACAGAGACGTTGTGCCACCTGCCCAAGATCATCCGCCCAGCTGACATATTGCACAGGTAGGATCATAGCCCCCTGTTCAGAGGGTGGGGGGTGACAGGGGTTAGGGAGGTATAGGGCCAAGTGTGAGTTCTGCCCAGCCTCATTGCCCTTTATATTATCTGGCATTTCTATTCCTTAAGGCACCTGATTTGGTTAATAGTGTGTATTTTAAAATACCCAATTTTAAGTCCTTAGCTGAGTATTTTGACCAAAAACCAAATGTCCTGGTGAAACTTCCCAGAAGTACAGACTTGCCAAGGGCCTCCACCTTGCCTTGTTTCCTGGAGCTCTGAAGCTTCCCAGATCAGTTTGGAACCGAGGTCAAAGGTCCTGAGGTTATTGGGAGGTTATGAAACATGGGGAAACTGAGATCTGGGGAGAGCCAGGACTTGCCCAAGGTCACAGTTGGTGATGACCAGCCTTGGGAGCTCTCTGCCCAGGGCTGGGCCTTTTGACTGTTGGGCAGTGCTGGGTGACAGGCCCAGTTGTGGTCCTGGAGACAGAGCATGGGGGTGGGTGCAGAGGTGATGTCAGGCAGCAGAGAATAGCTGGCTTTAGGTGCAGAATATCCCCAACCTCAATAAACATCCACTCATGATCACTGTGGGGACAAAGGTCCACAGAGGTGGCTCCATCACAGCCTGACACTGTTGACTCTCCTTGGACACTAGACCTAGCAAGGCCTTTAGAGGACACAGCTTTCCCCTCTCCTCTCTGTTGACATTCTCTGAGCTCCTCCTGGGCACCAGCTGCCACACTGGGAACTGGGGACACAGCGGACACCCTACAGCCCAGCCTGCTGTCATGGAGAGCATGGTCTAGTTGGGAGACAGGATTTGGCTGGGTCTTCCCGAGGTTGTGAGTGCTCCATGGGTGCAGGCCAAGGGGGTCTTCTCTACAGGCCTACTAGGTGGTTGTGAAGTCACATGAGGTAAGATCTGGGTCCACCTTTGCTCCTGTGAGTTCTCCCAGTGGGCAGGGCCTTGTCCTCCCAGGGACAGAACCTCAGTAAAATGTCTGTTTTTTTTTTCAGACCTGTCCCTCCTCTCTCCTTTCACAGAGGAGGCAGCCAAGCTCAGAGGGGTTTGAGAGCTCTGGAGGGTGGTGAGCTGCCCGCTTCAGATGGGGAAACAGGGCCTGTGAGGGCAAGCACAATGGGTCTTTAATTTTTAGCCACAAACCAGACTTGCCTAATTAAAATATAGACTGTCCAGTTAAGTTTTAATTTCAGATATAGTAATTTTTTAATATAAGCAAGTCCCATCTAATATTTGGGACATACTTACATTACAAATTAAAAGTTGTTCATTTTTTAAACTCTGAAATTCAAATTTAACTGGGTAGCCTGTATTTTTATTTGCTCAATCTGGCAACCCTACCCAAGCCCCAACAACACAAGGGTCAAAGGGCAAATGGCCATTCTTCTTCCCCACTCTAGTGAGTCAACAGGAATGAAGCTGAGGTCAGATGTCCTCAGAAATGCAGCAACTCTGAATAACTGGACAGGGTTCCTGACCTTGGTTGGCTGTTCCAAGGTGCAGAGAGCCTCCTCACATACCTTTCTTGCTCACACACAGTCACAATCATTCACAGACATAGGTGTGTCCTTTTCCAGAATTATTTTTGAAAATCTGTTTGAAAGCAAAAGTGCCCCAGGTTGTGCAATGGGTTTGGGAGAGCACTCTTGCAAACAGGTGGTGCAATTTCAGAAAACATCTTGCAGAGAATTATCCTGGGGTATGGATGGAGGCAGGATCCAGGCATTTGGCAATGGGACACTGTGGGCAGGTGGGGGGAGCGGGGGGGGGGCGGGGGAAGAGTAGGGGGGCACAGGCCCACGAGATGGCAGGTAAGTGTGCTGTCCTGATCGGCCCTCTGTTGTTCCTCTCCACAGCCAGCAGTGGCACGGCCAGGCCAGCATGGTGGACCACTTGCTTCCAGTGGACGAGAATTTCTCGTCACCAAAGTGCCGGGTTGGTTATCTGGGAGACAGGCTGGTAAGTGGGCAGGCATACCACATGCTGCCCTCGCCCCTCTCCGAAGACGACAGTGACGCCTCCAGCCTCTGCTCCTGCGCCAGCCCCGACTCGCAAGCCCTCTGCTCCTGCTACACCAGTGGCCCGGGCGCTGAGGGCCAGGACAACATCTTGGACTTCCTGCTCTCCCAGGCCACGCTGGGCAGTGGTGGCAGCGGCAGCATCGGGGCCAGCAGTGGTCCTGTGACCTGGGAGGCCTGGCGGAGGGCACCGGCACCTGTGAAGGGGGAGCATTTCTGCTTCCCGGAGTTTCCTGTTGGTGACCCCGATGATGTTCCAAGGCCCTTCCAGCCCACTCTGGAGGAGATTGAAGAGTTTCTGGAGGAGAACATGGAGCTGGGGCTCAAGGAGGCCCCAGAGAGCAACAACAAGGACGTGGAGGCCTGTAGTCAGCTCTCAGCTGGGCCACACAGGAGCCACCTCCATCCTGGGTCTGGTGGGAGAGAGCGCTGTGCTCCCCAGCCAGGTGGTGCCAATGCGGGTGACACTCAGGGCCCAGGTGGGGGGTCTGCACCCGATGGCCCCATCCCCTTGCTGCTGCAGATTCAACCTGTGCAGGTGAAGCAGGAATCAGGCACAGAGCCCTCCTCCCCTGGGCAGGCCCCAGAGAGTGTCAAGGTAGCCCAGCTCCTGGTCAACATCCAGGGGCAGACCTTTGCACTCCTGCCCCAGGTGGTGCCCTCCTCGAACTTGAACATGCCCTCCAAGTTCGTGCGCATTGCCCCTGTGCCCATTGCTGCCAAGCCTATTGGGTCAGGACCCCTGGGGCCTGGCCCCACCGGCCTCCTCATGGGCCAGAAGTTCCCCAAGAACCCGGCGGCAGAACTCATCAAAATGCACAAATGTACTTTCCCCGGATGCAGCAAGATGTACACCAAAAGCAGCCACCTCAAAGCCCACCTACGACGGCACACAGGCGAGAAGCCCTTTGCCTGCACCTGGCCGGGCTGTGGCTGGAGGTCAGTATGAGGGGTGACAGGCTGGGTGGTGAGTGCTGCCCCCTTTCTCTGTTCTTTTGGGTGTGCCGCCAAGGCTGATTTCTTCTACATTAGTTAAGACTGATTAGGAAGGGGAGAGGGGTGGACAGGGGGCAGTGCCAGAGCTAGCAACAGCTGCTCAGAGGTTTGCTTGTCCCTGCTGATCACTAAAACCAGAAAAAAATTGGTCTCCAGGTAAGGCTTGCTGGGGCTTGTGCTGAGAGTGAGCGGGCTGAGCCAGGGCAGAAGGGCTCTCATAGCATAACAGGGACGGTTGAGAATGATGGGGCCTGGGCTGTGTGCCAGATGGGGCTTTGACCAGGTGTGCACTGTTCCCTCTGCCTTGCAGCACCCCAAAGGGTAAGTACCACCCTTACTCCCATCTTACTGCTTACTGCAAACTGAGGCTCAGACTGGCTAAGTAACTTGCCCAAGGTCACACAGCTTTGTAAATGGGATTTGAACCCAAGTGGTCATATCAGAGCAGTCACATCCTGAAAATGCTGTTTCCCAACCAAAGGGACCAGTTTCCCTTACAAAAGTCCCTGAGCACATGGGTTGGGCCAGGCCCTTGCTCCCATGGGAGACCTAGAGGTGGTAGAGAAGCTACAAAAGCCAACCACAAGGTAGGACCTAGCTGGGTATGCTGACCGAAAGGTGGAAGGCTCTACTTTTGTGTAGCATGGCGGGGAAACCAATTCTCAAAGGACAGGGCTCTTTCCAGGGTTACCCAGCCCTCAGGCAGCATAGCTCGATGGGACCCCAGTGGATCTCCCTTCCCTGGGCCCCAGGTGCTGGGCCCACCTTCTTTGGGAGAGCATGTCCACCTTTTCCTGAAAAGCAGGCAGCCAGCCAGGAGCTCAGCCAGGAGCTCAGATGCTTAGGGGTGCCACAGCTGGGCTTCCCTCAGTTTAGGATGCCCACGCTGCTGGAATCTCTGGCCTGCCTGGGAGGGTGGCTTGTTCTATTGGCACATTCCTGGGCTTTTCTGATGTGGCTGTTGCTACATGTGTGAGTGTGTGCGAGAGCGATGTGGCATGTCCCATCTGCGTGCAGAACTGGATCTTGCAAGTGGCTGTGTAACTGTGTGCATGTGTGTATGCATCTTGCTTTTTTCATGTGTGCCTCTGCTGCATGACCATGCGTGTACCTAGTCTATGAGTGTGCATCCATGTTGGTATGGCTCACAGGGAGCAGTTTGCAGCTTTTGTTTTTTGACCAGACTTTTGTCTGAGAATTCCTGAGAGTTGGTCTCAGGATGGGAGATGCCACTCCTGGTGTCCTGGCTGGCCCAGGACAGGAGCTGTGACTGGAATGGTTGATGTGATGCTGGCAGCCCCTTGCCATGGGAGTGCAGAGGTGACCAAGGAGGGGACTTGTCCCAAAAAGCACCTTGGGTTATGGAGGCCCTTCCTGAGTGCACGCTCCCTCCACCCCAAGGCCCGAAGGTGCCAATCAGCAGACCCGCAGGGCTTCTTTCTGTGAGAGCCTGTGCTCCAGCCCCACGTGTTGGGTGTCAGTGCTGGTGCTGCATGCCTTTGAGCCTCGTGCCGCACTCTGCCAGGTAGGCCCTGGGGTAACAGGCGCACTTGCAGAGCAGCTGGTGAGGCCTGATGTGGTGGCATGTGTGTCATGTTGGGTCAGGGAGGAGACCATAGACATAGGGCTTTAGAGGCAGGTATTCCACTGCAGAGGGAAAGGTATTGAGATGCCTGGTGGCCTGGTTTAAAGCCTCCAACTCGCTGTGTGCCCTCACAGTGGTCCCCCTTCCCAAGCCTGCTTACTGCCTCTCCTACAAAGGGCCAGGGGTGCTCAGCAGCACCCCTTTCTCATCGGAGGTATTGTCACTCTTAATCCAAGATCAGAGTCTGAGAAGAGAAGGTTCTCTGCTTGACCTTCATGTGGACTTATAGAGACTCCTCTTGGATGCATTCTCTTCTTGGTGGGGTGCAGGGCTGGAGAGAGGTTGGGCATTTGGCTTGGCAGAGCACCAGTCTGACTTTTATGAGGGGCTCATCTTTCTGGGCGCTGTCCTCTGTTGAATGCTGGCAAGTGGCCCTTCCATTTGGGATAGGACTGGGTGGGACCATAGAGAGGAAAGGTATGGTCCTTGGTCAAGGCTGCCCAATTGGTCCACTCCCACAGGAGGAGAGGACCTGTCTTCTAGGCTGTCTCAGAAAGCAGACAGGAACTGCAGCCCAAAGTGCATCTTAGGGAGGCAGATCTCAGCCCCCGACACAGTGGCATTATGAGGTAGTGAGTTCCTTATGGCAGGAGGTATACAAACAAGAGTGGGATTTATGGAGGGAATTCAGCTCTGCCACTGTTTAAGCCTTCGCATTGTACCTCTTGCTCAGGATTCACTCGACAGGGAAAGGCATAGTGGGTATGTGGCATGATGAGGGTATGGATGGGTACGTGGGTACGTGGAGTCGACCCTGGAGCCATCCCTGCCTCCAGCCACTCCTAGGGCTTCAAAGGGCATCCCTAGCTTCTCCCAAGCTCTTCTAGAGTAGGGTCTTGGTGGGGGTCACACATGGCAGAGGCCCTGGGAGCCTGGCACACTGCCTCTCAGGAGGGCTGTTTCTCTGAGAATTTGAGAGTCGAGTTGGCCTTCAGGGATCCTGACACCCTGGGGATGTATACAAGACATGCATGTCCCTTAAATGTGGCCATAGCCTTCATCTGAGTGTCAGAGGTGAAGGGAGCCTTTGTAGCAGTTGGACAGGAGGACAGACCCAGCTTTGTGGCAGCTTGGTCTGGACAGGGCAGGAGAAGTAATGATGATGATGATAAGGTATCATGTTTATTGAGCAGTTACACTCTGCTAGGTACTATTCTAAGGTTCTCAGAGCTGGAATCCCCTCCATGAGTTATACTTGCTTGCATCCCTCCTGCCGTGGGGGACTCATTACCTCATGAGGCTATTCTGGCCTTTATGTGTACTTTGGTTCACTTAAGCACCATCCAAACTTCTCGTTCTGGCCCACAGGCCCACATAATCTGTTTGCCGACCTCACCTTTGTAGGCCACGCTGCCACTTGGACCTCAGCCCTCTCCGTGCCCTCTGTTGCCAACGCTTCTTCCCCAGTGGCAACTGTAGATGGTCTTATAATGGTCTCCGCTTTGTTTTGCACAGGTCACAGGCAGTAACTCACTGAGTCCTTACAATAGCCTTGGAACATTTAGACATCAATATGCATTTTACAGAGGGGGAAATGGAGGCCCAGAAAGCCTGCAGGGACAGAGCTAGTGAGTATGGGTCTGGGTGCACCCCCAGGCAGTGCCTCAGCCCCACCCTGACCTGCAAGCAGTATGGCAGGCATGCCACTCCCACCTGGAGACACCTGCAGTCATGGGCTGGCTTTCCCCTCATCTTTCTCTGCACCTGGGATTATAATGGTTGGGTGTCCTCTCTCCCCCACAAGGCCATCAGCTTTTTCAGGTGGTACACCATGGGTGAGGGAAAAGAGGTAGCAACAGCAGCAATGATAACATTGCATTCAGCACTGCTCTGAATGCACCAAACGCAGTAACTCATGTAATGTTCCAACAAGTCTGTGAGGTATGCCTCAGTATGTTGTCCCATTTTATAGAGAAGGAAATGAGGCACAGAGCATGTTAGTAAGTTCTCCATGGTCCCACAACTGGTAAGTGGCAGAGCCAGGAGTTCACCCTGGGCTGTCTGCCCTCAACCCCCTACCCCCAGACTGAGGACCTCTCTCCAGCCCCCTCTGCAAGCCTCTAGTCCGGTGTGGCCTGCTAGAGTGTTGAGAGGACTTTCACCTGCAGCTGGTCTTTGGAGTGGCACCCCTACACTCTTGCTTGCCTCCCCACATGGGGAGCTCCCCACTCCCAAGGCTGCCTCTCTTCTTCTTGCTGGGCCTGGTGAGCAGATTCCTCTTCCTCCTACCAGGCCTGTTCTGGCCCTGGCACTGTGTCCTGTGCCCCACCCTGTGCACCTTTGTGTGATGAACAGTATCCCTCCCTGCACTCCTCTCCCCCATTGTCACGTGCCCAGGTTACCAACCCCCGCTTCCTTCTGCTTTTGGTCCTGAACCCAGTGTTCCCTGTCCCTTCCCCTCTTGTGACATGGTTCTGGCACCCTTGACAGGGTTAAAATCAGACTTTCCCTATTCCAAGCTAACCATCTGGGAAGTGGCTGCTTGCCTGCCTTCCTAGAAGTTTCCTTGCTTCACTCTCAGACACAGGCCTTCTTTGTTCCCTGCAGTGGAACGTCCTGTTCCAGAATGGCCAAGCAGTTCTGTCCAGAAAGAATCCCTTCCTGCTGCAGCTAATATGAATATTAATAACTTTCACCATCCCTGTGTGGCAGGTACTGTTGTCATCCCCAGAAGACACAGAGGCCCAGAGAAGGGGATTTGCAGGCCTGAGGCCACAGAGCCAAGAGGTGGCAGGGACAGGATTCAAGCCCAGTGGTCTGGCTCTTTTGGCCTGTGTCACTGCTTCCCCTACTCGATGAGGCATTCTCCAGCCCCATCCCTGCAGTCAGCTCGGCCTCCAAGTGTGGCTGGGCAGGTTGTGCACTGCACAACTCTGGGGGGTGCCATTCCCATTGGGATCTTTGAGACTTGACTATACTCATGGCTTTCTGGCTGATGGAAGGGGTGCCTTTGCACAAAGGTGTTGTGTGTGCCAGTGGTGGTGCTGACATTATAAGCTGCTCAGGAAAGTCACCTGGACCTCTGTGCTTCCCTGTCCTGCACCCGGGTAACACAATTCACAGTAACCACCTACACACTCAAAGACTGTACCAGAGGCCAGGCCCTGTGCTAAGCTCCTTGCTGATAAGAGTTCACAATTGCTGGGTGATTGCACTGCTGTCAGGCACTGCTGTAAGCACTTGTCGCCTTTTATAGTCCTCTGAGGCAGATCTATCACATACCTGGCTTCAGGTGGGGAAACAGCCTCAGAGAGCTTGCCAACTTGCCTGGGTTGTTGGTCAGTATGTGCCTACAAAGGCTGCCTCTCCCTCTGTGTGGCCCCCAGGTCTCTCCAGTGCTGCTCTTTGGGACAATGTGAGTAGGGTGTGAGGCAGGGATCTTCTGAGGGTTTAGTTCCCAGGGACAGTACCTCTCAAATCGCAGGACTCTATGGCAGTAGGGAGGGGGCTTGCAGATGGGAACAGCTTCTTCTCAGACCTGGCTTTCCCTTGGTGCCCCCATGATGGCAGGGACCCTGTGGTCTTGTGTCACTGCCTTTGGCCTCCGAGAAAAGTTCCGGAAGGTGGACAAGAATCCCAAGATTTTCATTAGATAAATGAAAAAACAGGCCCAGGATGGTTCTTAAGTTTGCTCAGGACCACATAGGGCTCCCAGTCGGGTGGGGACCTGAGCAGATCCTGCTGTTCCACTGCTGTAGAAACCCCCCTTCAAACCTCTTGTTCTCTTTGAGCTCTTACAGTGTGACATTGTCAATCCCATGGGGCTGATCCTGGCTCCCTGGAAGGTGCAGGCACTCCCAGTGCCTGGTGTCTGGGAAGGCTCTAGCACTGTCAATGGCATTTTCTATAGCTTTCTGCTGCCCCCTACCTTGGGCATGCCCACCTGCTCAGAAGCTGTATGTCCAACTCCAGCTGGGGGCACATGGCCCTGGTCCAGGAGCTCAGGTCCAGGCTCTGACTGCCAGAGCCCATTGATGCTGCTTCCTCCCTGGCACAGGGCTCCAGTGGCACATACCTTCTAGCCAGGCTCTGTGGGTGTAGCCAGGCCCTCGGTGGCCACCAGGGTGGCAGGATATAGCAGGGAGCTGTTTCAAGACCTTTGCTTGGGCCTCGGCTGCTCTGTCTTACCTGTGACCCTGGATCAGGCCCTCATCATTCTGAGCCTCAGTTTCCTCATCTGAAAAATGGGCCAGTTGATCTTCCTTAATTCTGAAAACATGCTGAGAGTATTTCTCTGTATTCACCACAATTGGTGCTCTGGGATGGGGGTGGAAGAAACCTGGTTGTGCTCTAGGGGCAGGGCACCAGGGACAGCCAAGCCAAGCTGAGGTGCTTATCTTCCCTGCCTCTGGGCCCAGCTTCCCATCTGTGCTCAGGCCCTCCTGTTGCCCACCTGAGCATTCCCCAAGACTTGTCCTGCTGGGTCCTCCTGCTCCTTGGCAGGCTGTAGGATCAAGGCTTCCACCCACAGGTCACGCCAGAGTGGGCCATCACCCCCTACCCATTGGCTGGGTTGGGGACAGCTTTCCAGGGGCACCACCTAATCTGCCTCTTGCTGTGTGGTCCTACGTCCAGGAACGGGGCTCCTGAGTGTGTGCATATATGTGTTCACATAGGTAGACATTGCATTGTGTGTGCGTATGTGCATACATGTGTGCACAGGTGTGGAGTGGGTGGCATGTATATATGTATGAGTGTGCTCACATGTGTGCAGTGTACCCACGCCCACAACATGCACACATGTGTGGCATGTATGTATAGACATGGGTGTGCATGCGTGCACATGTGTACGTGTGTGAGTATGTGGATTCGTGCATGCATGTGGGTGCATTGATGCACTAGGACTTGAGAGGACTGTTCCTATGACAGCCCCATCCTCCTGTGGGTGCCTGCTCTGGGTGCCTGCTGTGTCCACACTTTCATGTAAATGTACTGACTGGGCACCTACCATGCACCAGGTAGACGTGTCTTTCCTCATGGAGCTGATGGTCTAGTGCCGTGGTCGGCAAACCGCGGCTCGCGAGCCACATGTGGCTCTTTGGCCCCTTGAGTGTGGCTCTTCCACAAAATACCACGTGCGGGTGCACACGTACAGTGCGACTGAAACTTAGCCCATGCGCAGAAGTCGGTATTTTGTGAAAGAGCCGGTATTTTGGTGAAAACTACGAGCCGGTATTTTCACCATAAATTTAGAAGCACTTGGGTAGCTGAAGTATCCTGAGCTGCCCAGCTGGTGGAGTCCTGGGGATCCACTGCTGGCCTGGGTGTATGTGTTTGGGGGGATGAGGGGGGGGTGGGTAGGGGCAGGGTGGGCCAGCCTGGCCTCGCTGATTGCTGTGTCCCTGTAGGTTCTCCCGTTCGGATGAACTGTCAAGGCACCGGCGTTCACACTCAGGCGTGAAGCCCTACCAGTGCCCTGTGTGTGAGAAGAAGTTCGCGCGGAGTGACCACCTGTCCAAGCACATCAAGGTGCATCGCTTTCCCCGGAGCAGTCGCTCCGTTCGTGCTGCCAACTGACCCCCCCCACCTCCACCCACCCACACAACCATTACCGCTACCACCTGTTCACCCCATCCCACCAGCCCCATCAGATGGTCCAGATCACCCATATATTTTGTAGCAATAATTTATTTGCCTCCTTCAGAGAGATGTGACAATGTTGCCAACCCATCAGCCTGGGTTGATATGGGAAGAGGGGGGCTGGCCTGGGAGGCAGGAACCCAGAGCCCCCCCCACCTGCTGCCTTTCCTGGGGAGACCCAGCCCCTGACCCAGGAGGCCGGCCTTTGTGCCTTTGCACCTTCGTGCCTTCCTGCGCCGCTGACAGGCCTCTGCTGCAGTGTCTGGGGGCCTGGCCCTTCTCCCACTGGGCTCCCTGCTTGGGCCAGGGCCAGCACTTTATTGCCCGGGAAGATGAAATGTGCAGTTTTGAAATGTCAGTTCCCACAGGGAGCCTCACTGGGGAAAAGGAAGTAGGCCAAAAGTCCTGGGCTGCACTGTGGTGTGCAGGTGGTTTTGTCCAAATGCTTTGCTCAGCCTGAATACCAGAAGGTATGGGCAAGGCTGTTAGGGGTGCAGGACCTGGCCTCCTGGTGGCTGCAGGATTGGGGTGAAAAGTCCCCCCTCTGGGGGCTGACAGTGCATGTGCTTCAGTTAAATGTGCAGGGCAGGCAGACAGATGCAGGCTAGCCCCGGAGCATCTGTACCCAGTGTGGCTCATCCCCTCGTCCTGTTTCCCGACACCAGCCTCCAGAGTCACCTTTTGGGAGGAGAGGGGAACAGGCTGTGTAGCAAGTAGAAGAATCAGATAAAGCCCCCAATCCCAATTTAGAAATGCATTCCTCATTTTGTCTAGAAATTAATATCAAATGAACTAGCTTGTTTTGATAGGTTTATTTCACATCCTATGAATGTATGTAAATAAACTGTACATAGGTACATCTACATAAAATATCTTTTAATAACATCAGCATTTGTGTAAATTTGAAATTTTAAAAATCTATAAAGCTGGTGTATATATGTTACAATTATGTATATTTTCTTTGGTCCTTCATAAAAATATATTTACTTTGCCAATAAAAAGAAAAAAGAACTCAATAACTTAATGATATTAATACACTGTTTTCCTCTGCTCTGCCAGGAAATGGGGTAATCTGGGGGCTGAGTCTCGGGACCTTGAGGTTTATACCTGGAAGGATACAAAGGCATCTTTGGGGTTAAGCCCCTGGCCTAGCCATGCAGGGTTCCCACACAGCCCCACCTACAGGCTGGCTGTTAGGTTTCGCTTATTCCAATATCCCAGAAGGCCAGGCGTGCTCTCTCCTCTTCTCTACACAACCCCAAATCCAACCCTTATCCCAGCATTACTTATGGGAAGCCACTGCAGGCCAGGCCAGGCCCACGGGGGTCACTACTCCTCTGATTTACTGTTGGAGGCCCTTGCTCGGCACTTGACACTTTCTGTGCAGTCCATCAGGTATTTATTGTGCACCCACTGTATGTTTTATGCAGATATAGGGGCAGATCATGCCCCCTCCTGAACTTCTGGAGGAGATGGCATATTCCCGTCTGCTTGCGTGGTAAATGGATTAGGAGTTCAGCCACCACCTTCACCCTCCCCAGCTGCTCAGAACTCTGGGGAGACAAAGCCTCCTGAACTCCCCAGATGCTTGAGGCTCTCTGAGCATTTGCACAGTTGGGATTTGGACCCATCCACACATCCTGGCAGGCTGGGAACAGGGTGGGACCAGAGGAAGGAGAAGCCATGAGCTAGCCAGGTGGGCAGGGAAGGTGGCCACAGTTCTATTGTGTGAATTAGTAGGTGAGGACCTTCCAGAGGTGATTGTCTACCCAGGAACCTGATATAAGGAAGGCCAGTGTTTCTCAGTGACAGCCTCAGAGACTGGCCCTGGTCCTGGGGAAAGGACTTGGCCTATGACATCTGTCCTTTGCCCCTGACCAAATATACCTTCTATGGCCAAACATGCTTGGGTAAGTGAGGCATTAGCATAGCCTTTCTTCATCCATAAACAAACAACATAGCCCAGATAAAAGGACACCAGAGGTCAGGACAGTCACTGTGGAGGAGCCTGTGAGCACATGTATCCATGGTGCTGGGCACTGACCCAGAACCCCACTCCGCTCATCTCTGTGGATGTCCCCACAGCTCGCTTACTCTGCGCCTGCAGCCTCCAGCTGACCCTGTGTCCAGGCCAAGGCCAGGATGGTTGTGTGTGGTGGGGTGGTCTAAGTCATTACCCTCAGTCTGGCTCCAGACTCCTCACCTGATGTGTATGTTTGCAGCCTTGTCATGCACCTTGGCAGCACAGCTGAGTGAACAGGGCATGGAGGGAAGGGCACTGCCTCTTGATCCCCACTCCCCCCACTTTGGATTTCTTAAACTATAGATTTGAGCTTCTTCCCCCTGCAGAATGGGGATGAAAGTCCTCAGGTGATACATGGTGGGGAAGGGTAAGAGAGAGCGTGTGACTTTGAATAGGGTGAGGACCCTTTCCAGGCTGTGAGCCTGCCTTCAGGCCAGATGGAGAGCCTGGGGAGTCAGGGTCTCTGGTCTTCTACTGCCGCTAACACCATTGCAGCATGACCCATGAAAGCATTAGGAGTTCTGTTGAGGCACCTAGCTTGTCTCCTACCTCTGGGAGACTCCCATGCCACCACCTTTGTCACTGGAAGAAGAGTGTTTGTCTTAGCCTATGAGCCAAGAAGCAGATGGAGATGTGAGCCAATGTGCCCACAATTGTTTCTAATAGGGAGGAGTCTGGAAAGTTGCAGAGCTTTAACACCCTGGTACCCCACCTTGCATAATACCCTTCCCAAAGGCACACAGAGGGGGAAGTATCATTTATTGAGCAGTGAAGCAGGCAGAGTATGGGTTAGACTGCTATAACAAAGAAACTCCCCAACACTGTTGCTTACATAGGTAGTTTCTTTTTCTCTATTTAAATATTCTGAAAGTAAGCAGTCCAGGCTGATATGGCAGCTCCATTGTGGGGAGCTCCTCTCTCGTTGCTCTCCATGCCCTAGGGTGTTGGTCCAAGATGGCTCACCAGGGTACTGTGCCAGCCCAGGGAAAGCCATCAAGGGGCCATGTGTTCCCTCCCTCCCTGAAAGGTCAGGGGCTGGGATTTGCACAGTCTTGTCCACCCATGTCCCATTGGCCAAGACAATCACAGGTTCATCCGCTGCAAGAAAAGCTGGAAAATTTAGTCTTAATCTGGAGGTTATGGACACAGCTAAAATTTGGAAGTTCTATTAAAATAGAAAGAAAAGAAGAGTAGGTGTTGAGTTTTCACTACAAGCACACCCGCCATGTTGGTGTCGAGCCTGGTGCCATGCACACATTCTGTTCACCTCTCAGAACCTTGCAAATTGGCCTCTTCCCTGCAGCATGTAAGTCATGGTAGAGTGGGTGGTACCACCCCCTCCCCCCCCCCCACCGCCCCATGGCTTTGTTCGCATTCTCAGAATGGGTGTCACTGGCAGGTATGGAACCAACTGTCAGGCTTGGAACATCAGGGTATCATGAGGGGAAACCCTGTGGGTATAGAGGAGCTCTGACACTTTGGTTGACAAGCCAAGGCTACAAATAACAGAATCCTCACCCATGGGGACAAAAGTAAACAAAACCAAACCCTTATAAAGTCACCAGTGTCTATTCTTCAGTAGGATCCAGAATCTCTACAAGGGTCAAGGGGATAGAAGCAGAAAGATCTGGGGTCAGGACTTCTAGGGAATTATAACTTTTCTTATGCTCCATTGGTTCTAAGTATCAAAGACCCAGCCAGTGGGTGTAGGGAGAAGCTGCTGGGAATGGGCATGTTAACTCGCACAGCTGTCAATGTGATGAGGGTCTTAGAATATCATATAAGGGGACCAAACACAGGGACAAGGTCAGCTCTCTTTGTGACAGACACCGAGTCTGAACTGCATTACCTGAAGTTAGGCTAAGGTGACTAATGCCACTGGGCCTGCTAAAAGACTGCAGGTGGAGGCAAAGGGAGCATTCAGAAGACTCAGAAAATATATACCTCAGCGATCCACTGCAGGACCCAGAAAGGCATCTTTGGAAATTTCCCGTTATCTTCAACAGGTAAAAAATCCCTGGTGGCTCCTGGGAGGCCACAAAGGGGGCCCTGGCTGGAATAGAACAGAAACAAGATGAGGTACAGAGAGAGGTGGAAGGGATGAGGGAATATTGCAAGAGAACAAAAACTGCAACAGCAAAATTAAAATCTGCCTTGGAGACAGCAAAGAAGGGTAGGCAGGGCAGGCTTCCGACTGCTGCCATGGAGTTCAAACTCACATGGATCCCAGACCCAGCTGGGAAGGAAAGATGAAAGTGGGATAGATAGGTATGGAGGGCAAGAAAAATCAGTAGCTGGATACTGGGGTTCTGGAACAGATTCCAGAACAAATAGCATATGTATTAATATTGTAAATAGCATATACAACATACTAAAATGTAACATATAAAATGTGCTAATATGTAACATATACTAGTGTGTAACATATCTCTATATATAAAAGCCTATGCAACCATTTGACTGGCCGGTAGCTATGATGCACACTGACCACCGGGGGACAGACGCTCAACGCACAAGACGCTCAACGCACAGGCATGGAAACATGGAACAGACTGATGAATCTCAGAGGGAAGAGGGAAGGGGGCGGGCAGGAAGAACTTTGAACCAAAGATATATGCATACTAGAGGCCCAGTGCACAAAGCTGGTGCATAAGTCCCTCGGCTTGGCCTGCAGGAATCAGGCCCAAACCAGCTCTCCGACATCGCCTGAGGGCTCTTGGATTGCGAGAGGGTGCAGGCCAGGCTGAGGGACCCCACTGGTGCATGAATTTGTGCAGTGGGCCTCTAGTACTAATATATAACATAACAAATATGTACAAATAGAATTATAATACAATTATACAATATGTAATTAAATCATATATAACTATATGCACACTTGATGTAAGTGGAGGGCTGGGAAAATACCCTACCCGTGGAGGCAGGAGGGCATAGTGGGTGGGTCTTGGAAGCAGAAACTGGAACTGAGCCCACTTGAGCCCTATTGGTTTCTCTGACTCTCAGGGTACTTATGTGAAACCAGTGTCACTACATTGATTCCCCAGGATGTGTGAAGAGGAAGTTAGCATATTTACATAGCAAATCCATTGCATGATGGACAAGAGGCCACAGTGATGAGGCAGAAAGAGAAATGTGGCACCCAAAGAAGGGCCTTCCACTAGAGAACTGCCTGAGATAAGGACATGGAAGCTCAGAGGCAGCTCTCACCTCCTGAGGTCAGGCCTTGGCTGGAAGGGACACCTGTGGGCCTTGCACAAAGGACCCCCTCATGGAGTGAGGTCTGGACCCTGAGACCAAGTAAGCTTTCAACCTCCATTGGTCCTTTCCCATCTGCTCTAATTCTGGGAGTCCGGGAGATGTGAGGACACACCGGCATCGCCGTCCTCACCTGTCCCCAGCGTCTGGTTCTGTGAACTGGGCCTTGACTCTGAGCTGAACGAATGAGAGCAGTTTCCAGATGGAATGGTGCTGGCTCTAGTGAGGAGTGGGATCACCACAGCTCCCTTTAAAAGATTACATCAGAGAAGTCAGGCACCTGAAAGACAGATGAGTAGAATGAGAGTAGGGTTGTCAGAGCTGGAAATAGCTGACTACAAGAGTGAAAATACATTTAGCTAGACAGGAGTCTAAAGAATGGCGAATGGGTTTTAACATCCAAATGCAGATACCAAATACTGTTACAGAAAGAGAAGAAAGGTTTGCAATGTCCAAGTAACAATGTAATTAATACCAGTCTGGCTCCAAACACCAGGTTGTACGAACAGTTGTGCAAATGCTTGAAGTGCCTCTGGTAGGACCTTCCTCTTTCCCAGAGAAGTCCTTGCCCTTTAAAGGAGCAAATTAGACTAGTGGCATTTTGGACATCTGATTTTATGTATTTCCCCCTTCCCTGAGATGTCTCTGCCTTGAGCACAAAAGGAAGAAATGAGGCTTGATGTCTCATTTCTATGGGGTAATTGGCAACTGGTAACTGGTAAGTTGGTAACAGCTGTC